AATCAAACAATTGTGAGCTTGTGACATTTCCTTTTTACTATTTGGGGGATAACTGGGTGGGGGTGGGGGCAATGGTAACGGTGTGTAGGTTTAGGCCATTTCAGCTGAGTGCCTGTTTCTGAGTCTGATTTGTTGAATATTTTATCTAGAGCCACAGTTCTTGCTTTCTCATTCTGTTACTTTTTTGTAGCTTTATTCTGCCTTGCAATATAACAATGTGTTAGGCTCTGTGTTAATGAATAAAAGCTTCTCCGTTAATCTTTTTATTATTATTATTTAATGGTTAAGTTACCAGCTGGCCTTGGCCAGATTTGTGTTTCTAGCTATAATAAAGTTGCCACAGTAAGAACCTTAGTTGACTGTGTGCTGTGAAGTGTAAAGGGGTGGGAATTTGTGAGTTGTGGCTTGACTAGGGAGTCTATAAAACTGACCGGACCTCTTTGTATCCCTGGTTAATTTTGTAATCCTTTGTCATTCCTCACAAAGGGAGATGGGCCTGTGGCAGATTAAATCCAGAGGGTCTTCCATAATTGACAAAAAGTTTACTTAGTGAAGATTACTTTCTCTGATTTCTCAGATCCCTTACCTTGCCCAAAGCAGCAAGTAATAGGGGTGTCCATCCCAGGCTTGTTTCTGCTAAGTGGTTACTCAAAGAAGTTATTTCTTTACCAAGAATGGGGAGGCAAGTTTAAGTCTCAAAAGTTTGCCAGCATGTCTGCATTCCTCTGAATTAGCATTAGTCCTCTTCCTATGACATTGGGTAAATCTTAAACAACCAACCTGTGACATCTCCCCAAATTTGATAGGATTTTGTCCAGTCATCCTAAATCATCCCTAATTTACTAGACTTTATCTTTTTTTCTATTCCTTGCTTATACCCTTCTGTCTCCCCACCAACCTCCTTAATTTATCATGTGTAGAGAATTATAGACTTAAATTTGGAAGGAACCATTAATATCAGTTGTAATTCATCAATCTACTCATTTATCAGGTTAAAAAAAATAGAGGCCCTAAGAAAACTTAAATCTGCAAATCACAGGGATGACTAAACTAACAACTAAAAATGCACTTAATCTCCCTGAAGCCTTATTATTTTTCTTACCCAGGACCATAGTTCTCTCTCCATAAAAGGGTAGAAATAATGTAGGTATAGTGGCTTAAGCCATCTGTTAGGATTACATTCTACCTGATTACAAATTGCAGGGCTAATGAAAGTATAATGCTCTTCCCAAAGCACTAGTGTAGAGGTTTTTTTCCCTAATGACCTTTTCCCACATTCCCTTTGTTTTTGCTTTAATCCTCACTCCTCGGGGATTAGATTTTTCCCATTGATTCTAGAGAATGGAAGGGAGGGGGTTGAGAGAAGCATTGATGTGACATTGATTGGTTGCCTCCCACAAGTACCCGACTGGGGGCAGGAATCGTACCTGCAACCCAGGTACATGCTCTTGACCAGGAATTGAACCTGAGACCCTCTGGTGTGTAGGCTGATGCTCTTAACCAGCGGTTCTCAACCTGTGGGTTGCGACCACTTTGGGGGTCGAACGACCCTTTCACAGGGGTCGCCTAAGACCATCGGAAAACACATATAATTACATATTGTTTTTGTGATTAATCACTATGCTTTAATTATGTTCAATTTGTAAAAGTGAAATTGGGGGTCACCACAACATGAGGAACTGTATTAAAGGGTCGAGGCATTAGGAAGGTTGAGAACCACTGCTCTAACCATTCAGGCATACCGGGCAGGGTCCTTTGGTTTATGTTATAGTGTTAAAACAAATTGCTCATGAGTATTGCAATATATTACATTAGTGGTGTGGCCCTCAATCCCAGATTGGGCCTATGAATTCATTTTACATGTCCCCCAAGTCTGCATGGGATGGGAGGGGCAAACATTAGTTAATTGTCCACATAGACTTTTTCTTGTTGGTTGGTATAGCTGCTCCTTTATCATGTAGTCCAGTTCTCCCTTAGGTAAGCTCTTTCTGTAGTTTGGACTTAATCTTGCCGATAATCATCTCCACCCAGGTACCTGGTTTTATTTTATCTAGTTCTTGATTAGAAGGCCTCTTCACCTAATGAGTTCTTCCTAAAGAAAGATTGCTAGGAAGGAATCCAGATGTTTTAAGGGGCTGACTACCATCACATAGAGTCTTTAACAATATTTTTGTTGGGTTTTCCTATTCCTTTTCTCCCTTATACCTGCTCCCTCTTCCAATCCTGCTCAGGCTGTGTGCATGAACAGTTCTTTTTAAACTCTTTGGTGACATAGTGCCACCACCTTCTTGCATCAATTTAATTTCTTTTAGGTCCTAGATCTAAACTGTTTCCAGCAATTCCCCCCTAAATTTTCATTCAGGGCCTGTTGTTTACATTATTCTAGATATCCCATTTTGGCATTGTCAAGGATCTACTCTCTTTAAGAACACAATATTCTCCTTTATACCCAGGTAGAAATAACAATTTCTGACTAAAATACTAATTCGTAGTTGAAAGATCCATTTATCTTGGCCTTGGTTTTTCTTGCCTCTCTAGCCAGCTGGCCAGCTTGTTGGGCTTTCATTGTGGTAGAAGAGATACAGATGGGAAAATATTCATGCTCCCTTGACTTAGACAAGTCATTTTAAAGTCTATGAAATAAATTTATGAACTGAAATTTCAGTTGTAAGATTTAGTTCTCTTTTAAATGGAAACTAAGTCTTGCTGGCTACCTAATAACAGTGAAGCAGGCCAAATGCCTACATACCTTTCCTTCAAAGCTCAAAATTGGACTCCAGGGCTTCAAATGATGTTTTCAAACAAAGGCATTATAGCCCGGTATGTTTATCTTAAGACCACAGATTTGGGAGCTTCTAGGGAGTTGCTGAAACAAATTATTTTGGCTTCCACCTTTAAGTTCTGAAAACCATAAAAACTGTAGCTTGAGTATAATTCTTGGTCCTTACTATACTTGTTACCTTGTTACCTGTTTGACATCTCTTAGCATTTGAAACTTCATTATCTCTTAATAGTTAATAATGGCCTTTATTGATAGAGAAACCCAGGACTGTTCTAGATTAAAAAGCTGTTTCAGACTAGCTTTGTGAGGCTACTTTCAGGTAAATGTTTCCTAAATTCTGTCAGTATTTTAGGAGGATTGGAAATAAGCTCGGCAGTAAAGAACCATTGCTTCTGTGATTTGTGACTTGAAGAAGATACACCTACTGTCACGGTGTACTTCTATAAAGTGGTTAACATCTCCTACAAAGGTTCCGGGGGAACATAGTTTGAGGGATGCCCACACTTGGTAACCCAGCCTTCTCAGTTTCCTTTGATTCTGAGGTAATTTCCCCTCATGAAGTTTCTTCGATTGCAGGGGTTACAGGCACATGGTACTTGCTGATTCAAAAAACCTTGCTACTGTTTCACGTAAACTCTACTTCACAGTTCACCAACCAATCAGGTTGAAACATTTGGAGTTGAGGTGCAGCTGGGCATTAAAAAAACTAACTTTGAGTTCTTGTTTTGTGTTACAGGCTTTCTTCGGAGACGGGTGGCATGGGGAGCAGCTAGAACAATGCAGATTCATCCATAATCCCTTTCTGCTGTTCACCACCACCCATGATCCATCTGTGTAGTTTCTGAACAGTCAGCGATTCCAGGTTTTAAATAGTTTGTAAATTTTCAGTTTCTACACACTTTATCATCCACTCGTGATTTTTTAATTAAAGCGTTTTAATTCCTTTCTCTGTTCAGCTGTTAATGCTGAGATCCATATTTAGTTTTATAAGCTTCTCCCTGTTTTTTTTTTTTTTTTTTTTTGGTGTTTTTTTTGGCTCATGAATTTTTGTTTGTTTGTCATGGAAATGTAAGAGTGGAATATTAATACATTTCAGTTTAGTTCTGTAATGTCAGGAATTTTTCAAAAAAATTAAAAGATGGACTGGAGTTTTTTCTTTGTGAATAGAAACTGGATGCCACAGTGATTCATGTGGGTTTTATTCCTGTTGTCTTGCTGTTATTTTTGCACCTTTTATCCCTCAAAGGACAAGGACCCTGCTTGGGTTTTGAATATAAGCCTTTATTCCAGTTAAGATGTTTCCTTCTGTTTTACCACTCCATTCTTATTTATTTCAGTAGCCCTTCATTGGATATTCTCTTGAGCCTGTGTTGAAAGGTGACCTAGTAGCTATAGCAAGCTGGCTGTGCCCTTGATTTCAAAGGTTGGAGGTTACATTTTCCTAGGATTTATCTGTAAAAAATAGGCAGTCAACTAGGGGTTGGGGTGTGGGAAAGGATGCACATGCATACACCTGGAAGCTGTTGGAAGTGTGTCTGACTCGGATTCAGGTTGCTAGGAATGTCTATTCCCTTGTCCAAGATAAAAAACATCAGTACCTTGTTTTTAATAACTGTTCATTTACAGTCCTTCTCCATATTAGGATGGAGTATTTTAAGATCTGCCTTCTAACATCCTTTAGAGTTACCTGCTCCCATTTATGCAGACAAGTTTAGAAGGTTGGAGCTTTAAGTGATGTTCATTTAGAGAGAAGAGCATAAAAGGAGGAAGTAATTTATCCACAGTCCTCAGATAATGTCTGGAGCCCAAGGCTCCTACTTGATCATGTATGCTACCTCGTTCATTCACCAAGAAAACCCTCGACAGCTGGGCCTGCATGGAGTGGTTATATTTCAAGGTTTTTCACAGGGGTTACAATAGGACAGTTTCCACCCCAATCAGGCACCAAGATAAAAGCAGGGACTTAAAACCCCAGTTCTTCAGCCTGAGCCATCACATGCTTGTACAATCTTCTAACCTCCCCCCTAGACCCTAAGCCAGGGCTTGGGCAGAGAAATGAAGAGACAAAGAAATTGGTTACATTGCACCTGAGAAACCTCAGGAGGGGAGGACCCAGCCTTAGCCTCCCTCCTCCCAGGTGCAAAATGTGTAAACAGTAAATGGAAAACAAAAAAGTGCAGTTAAGTGGCTCCCTTTCCTTCTCCCTGGTATTGGGGGGGGGGGGGGGGGGGAAGGACCATAGGAGGCAAGTTGGGCTTTGCTGCTGCCTGACTGCTTGTTGAACATAACCGGGCCAAGCAGGGAGGGGCCGGTTTGCCCTGAGCCACAGATCTAGGGCAGTCCTTGTTGTTCATTTCCACAGCTGCCAGTTAGGTGAATTGGTCAGGGGGTCAGTCTCTTGAGCCTGACTTAAGGCTGGGATAGCCCTGTCTTTCTCTGTTGATTATGTGGCGCATATATATATTATTTATATAAATATTCCTATGTACAAGAACAAGAGTGGCTTTCATGGAGGGAGGGAGGCTGGGGGCTGCAAGGCTTCGCCACTGTTGGGGTTGTCCAGTTCAGTGCTGTCACAGTCTGAGTCCTCGGAATTGGGAGGGCCCTGTGAAAAGTAGATATGCAAGGAGGTATGAGGCTCAGAATCCCTTGTATTGTAGATTCCTTTAGGATCCCTCACTGAAGTCTTTGTTATAATAGCCAGCAACTTACTGCTTTTTACTGCCCCCAGATTTTGTTGCTCAGGCCATTCTGCAAGGCATGAGACTCCTAATTTCAGGATTCCTCCCTGGCTGCAATTTCTAGCTACTGTGTAAGCAAGCCTATTGAACTAAGCAAGCCTATTGCCACACTATAGGCTTCATTCCACCATGTGGATACTGCTCTTTGATATTGGTGAAAACAGGTTCAGTTAGAGTGACTAAAATGCAAAAAACCTATCTTCTGGCCTCTGCATCTATCTCCCCAATAGCTCTCAAATGACCAGGTATCTTTTCCCTGCCCAGTACTGGCTGTTTCTGTTACTCACCTGCTCTCCCCTGAGTAGGTCCTGGTGCTGAATGGGCAAGGAGGGTTCAGGGCCTGTAACCACCTCTGAAGCAGGTTGGTCTAGTGGGATTTCTGATCCCTGGGAGCACATGTCATCAGACCGTTCATCTGGCCGCTCATCAGTGTTGGTACTGCCAACATCAGGTGTGCCACTGGGGGACGGCTCACTAGCTGTGCCTTCCTCCCCATCTGATGGATTCTCTGAGCTGAAGGTAGATAGTGACTGGCGCATGTTCAGGCCCTGAGGCCACCTATAGGTCAGCAAGACACCTATAGTTTGACTGCACTTCTTGCAGCTCAGGAAGCAAAAGAATGTCATTACTTGTGCTCCATCACTTACCTGTGGCTTGATGTCAGCTCTACTTCACTGTCTACTTCCCCTTCCTCTTCCTCTGATGATATGCCACGTTTCTGTAGGAGAGACGAATAGACTGGTCAAAAGTGGGAAGAGGTAATGGGCCCAGGGAAGGGGAACATAATTATAAAGCATTAAGGAGGGAATGGCTTACGATCAAGAGCCTAGTGTGGGAGGTGAGTTCATGGATTTGGACCCCAGGGAGAAAACGAACTTAAGAACCCTCATACTTTACCTGACTTCTGGTGACAGCAGCCCTGTACAGTAGTGCAGCTGGGGTCAAGTGCTGGGACCCAGCCCGGCTTCCTCCCCGTCCCGCTGTCCCTTCCCTTCCAGTTCCCAGCAGCCCCACGCCATCACCAGGCCCTACTGGTGGAGGTGGCTCCCCTTTGGCTCCCCCAGGTGAATCCGGGCTGGTGGAGCCAGGTGCTGAGCCCTCACTTGGGGGGGTGTCACCCCGGGCTGGAGGTGGTGAGCCAGGATCCCCAGTTCCCCCTGTGGCCCCCCGGCCTCGGGCTCCCAGTGCTGCTGACAGCAGATCTGGGGATGAAGAGGACATCTTTCGTAGCAGGAGGTCATGATGGAGCCCACGGAGGGCTGGAGGGCAGGCTTCCCAAGCTGAGGGTCCCCCTCCTAGCACCCCTGGGCTTCCTGGTCCCCCAGGTTCATGGGGTGGCACAGCTGCACGAAGCCCAGGCAGGTCCCCACAGCTGCCCTTGGCGCTGGCTTTGCGATGACGGGTCTTGCCACGGCGATTCCGTCCTGGTGAGGGGGGACCCTTAGGACACCCAGGAAGACCCACCCCACTCAGGGCTGCATCTAGTTTTGGTAGCAAAGACTCAGTCTTGAGGATATCTGGCCTGGTGGGAGAGGGGAAGGATAAGTTTGAGATTAACAAATTTATCAACTGAAAGCCTGCCCTAACCTTGGGCAGTACACAAAGCACTTCTCTCCCCTTTCTAAATACAATACCAGTCTTCCTGGCGTCCTTGACTCCTACTCCCTGCTTCTGCATCCCTCTTGCCAATTTTGAACCTCAGCACTTAACTCTGGTCTTACCTTTTGCTGTGGGGTGACAGCTTCTGTGGAACATTCCTCTTCTTGATGAGCTTCTCCATTGTGTTCCCATGCAGGAGGCCCCGCGAAGGGTGTGACTTCAGCAGACCTGGGCACCTCCGCTCTAAAGCTTGTTCCCTCCTAAAGACACACACCACTTGAGTTGGGCATGTGACCAGGAAGGGGGTCCCAGGCTTAGTAGCATCTGAGTCAGGCACAGCTTCATGAAAGTGGGATTAGGGTTGCATAAGGGCCGTATGGTTACCTGAGGAGCTCCCGCTCCTTAAGTTCCAGTTGCAACATAAGGGCATTAAGTTCCATGTACAGGTTGTTGGCTCTCTCCAGCTTCCGTTCATAGTGTTCCCTGATGTCCAAGGCATGTCTGAAATGAGCAGAAGGATCCCTGAGGTTAGCTGGCTTCACCGGGTGCCATAATTGATCCCAGTCCCTGGGAACTGGTCCACAGTCCCTGCTGTTGCTGAAACCCCCTTTCCAAACACAGGCACACACCTGAGCTCCTCCCTCCTCCGCATCACCAGCTCCTCTTCTAGGCGGTGCAGACATGTCCCTTCTGACTTAATTTTTTCAAAATGCAGCTTTACCTCTTCACGCCACTCTGCCTGGAGGTGGAGATATAATGAGGGGTGAGGAACATGGGAGTGAAGTACATGATGGACCAACACCAGGTCTCAGCCCCCCAAAGCACATTTATTCCAACCCAATCAACCCTTCCCAGCCTCCCCTCAAAGAGAGGGAGGTGAGGTGTTCATTTTCCTACCCACAGCACACCTGGGACTTAAAATAAGTCTCCTGGGGTGTGGAAAGGACATCTGCTGAGGCAATGTCTAGATGGAGCAGGATCTGTCGGAATGAGGGACGATTTCGTGGTTTGCTGTTCCTGGAGGGAATGGAGTTGCATTAGAGAAAGGAATTTGAGGGAGGAGCAGAAAGGAATTAGGGCATCCTTTCTCAGTGTCCTAGTGAATCCAATCCTAGAATGTACTCTGATAAAAGAATCCCCTAGTCTGTTATCTGTTAGCATATCAAAATTCTGCAGTAAGCAAACCTATTCATTTTCAACTTGCTTGTCAAAACAACCTTTTCCCTAATGACTCCATTAAAAGAAACACACTTTGGGAAATGTTTAACCAAAGATTAGAAATGTTCAACCTTCCTTTGGGGTCTAGGTTCCAAATAAGGGACTAAGGCTCTTCCCTTCTGTGTTCTAAGAATTGTAGTGCTGCCGAAACCGGTTTGGCTCAGTGGATAGAGCGTCGGCCTGTGGACTGAAAGGTCCCAGGTTCGATTCTGGTCGAGGGCATGTACCTGGGTTGCGGGCACATCCCCAGTGGGAGATGTGCAGGAGGCGGCTGATCGATGTATCTCTCTCATCGATGTTTCTAACTATCTCTCTCCCTTCCTCTCTGTAAAAAATCAATAAAAAAAAAAAAAAGAATTGTAGTGCTTGCCCATGGTCACAGAAAGCCTGTGTGGCTTTGAATCGAATGCACACATGCAGATTACTGATCAACCACCTCTCATTTCTACAATGTAGTCCCCTGGATTCATGGTCTGAATCCTGGGGTCTTCAAGAGCCATCTATGGCAATGCTGTCCCCTTTCCCCCGTTCAGGATTCTAGGCCTGAATGCCTGGATTCTACGTGCTGGCTAACCATCAGCAATACCCCTTAGCTTCCCAGCTTTGCCAGGCCACTCTTACCAGCACTGGCGAAGCAGGATTTTGAAGCCATCTGGGCAGCTGGAGGGCACAGGCAGATGGAGACTGTTGCTTCCCACACCCCAGATGATGGCTGAGGAATCTACATCTTTGTAGGGAATCTCACCAGTCAGGAGTTCCCATAGCACCACGCCAAAGGACCTGGGGATTAGAGGGGACATCACTTGGGAGGTGATCCCTCCAAAGGACCTGCTTGCTACCAACACATCTCACTTGCACTCAGGCCCGGGAAACCCTCTTCCCTCCCACACTCCCTATTCTGGCCACCTGCTATTTTCATTCCTCAGCCTGGCCCTCACCAGATGTCGACCTTCTCAGACACAGGCTCGTTACGAATTACTTCAGGGGCCATCCAGGCTACTGTTCCTGCAAAGGACATCTTGGTGCTCTTGTCACTCAACTCCTTGGAAGTGCCAAAATCGGAGATCTTCACCACATCGTCGTATGTGATTAGCATGCTGGTAAAGAGTGCAGTCAGCTGGGGTTTAGGCCCCTCCACACACCTCATCCAGTGCAGCAACTCTACTTTTCTGTTAAATCATTTGGGACACCCAGAGGCAGGGGGCGCACCACAACCCTCCTGAGATAGGACTGTCCCTGGGAGGGGTTTCTGAAATGGCCACATGGACATAGGACAGGGTCTGGAAGCAGGGAGATGGCTACACTGATGTGGGTGGGGTTATCTGCAGGAGAACATGCACATCAGTGTCTCCCTGCTTGCTTGCTTACTCACTTGGGGGACTTGAGGTCTCTATGGATAATCTTGTGCAGGTGCAGGTAGTTCATGCCACCAGCGATGCCCATGGACCAGTCAACCAGCAAGGAAGGGGTGACAGGGCGGCCAGCCCGCAGTACCTCATACAGCTGGCCCTGGGCGCAGAACTCCATGAGGATACAGTAGCAGGGAGCCTGGGTGCACACACCCCTGGGGGCCAAACAGTAGTGTGAACCAGCCCAGTATACCTGGAACCCCATTCCCACCCATGCCATTTGGGTGTCTCCTTTAAAAAGGGTAGGGTAGCCCTAGCTGGTTTGGCTCAGTGGATAGAGTAGCCTGTGGACTGAAGGGTCCCAGGTTTGATTCCAGTCAAGGGCATATGCCTGGGTTGTGGGCTTGATCCTCAGTAGGGGGCGTGCAGGAGGCAGCCGACCAGTGATTCTAATCATTGGTGTTTCTCCCTCTCCCTTCCTCTCTGAAATCAATAAAAATATATTTATAAAAAAATAAGGGTATGGTAGTCCTAGCAGGTTTGGTTCAGTGGATAGAGCATCAGCCTGTGGACTGAAGGGTCCCAGGTTTGATTCCAGTCAGGGGCACATGCCCAGGTTGCCAACTCGGTCCCCAATGAGGGGCGTGCAGGAGGCAGCCGATCAGTGATTCCCATCATTGATGTTTCTCCCTCTCCCTCTCCCTCTCTCAAATCAGTAAAGATATATTTAAAAAAATAAAATATAAATAAAAAGGGTAGGGTAGCTCGGCCGGTGGGGGTCAGTGGTTGAGCGTCAACCCATGAACCAGGAGGTTAGGGTTCGATTCCCGGTCAGGGCACATGCCCATGTTGCAGGCTTGATCCCTAATAGGGGGCATGCAGGTGGCAGTCAATCAATGATTCTGATAATTGATGTTTCTATCTCCCTTCCTCTCTGAAATCAATAAAAATCATTAAAAAAAAATAAAAGGGTAGGATAGCCCCAGCCAGTGTAGCTCAGTCGATTGGAGCGTCGTCCTGTGCACCAAAGGGTCGCAGGTTCGATTCTGGGTCGGGAGACATACCCGGGTTGTGGGTTCAATCCCCAGTCAGGCCACATCCAGGAGGCAACCGACAGCTGTTTCTCTCTTACATTGATATTTCTCTCCCTCTCATATCAATAAAAATATATCCTCAGGAGGATTAAAAAAAATTTATAAAAATATTTTTTAAAAGTAAATAAACAGGGTAGAGTAGATCCTTGCCGCCCAAGTAGGTCCCTGCCCTCAGCATAGTATCCCCAACCCCTGCCCTGAACCTTACTTGAAAGTGATGATGTTGGGGTGCTTTAGCTTTCGCAGGTGCTTGATGTCAGTCTCCTTCAGGTCCCGTACCTTCTTCACAGCCACCTCTTCCCCATGGAAACGCCCCAGGAAGACAGCACCCTGGGCCCCTGAGCCCACCCACTGCAGATCCAGGATTTCCTCAAAGGGCACCTCCCAAAGGTCTGTGGACAGGAGGCACAGTGCCACAAGGTTCAGAGAGAGCCACCCTCAGGGCCTTGTGATAGGCACAGGGGAGAGGATTGGATTAGCTGAAATGACTCAAGAAGGGTGAGGCAAAGAAGTAGCCGAAATAGGTCAAGACGACTAGGTTTGGGGGGACAGGGAAGGCATAAATGGGTGGCCTAAAAAAAAGCTGGGAAGTCAGTAGCCGATGGATGGATAAGGAGCTTGGGCCAAGCTCAGGAGAGAGGGTCAACAGGTGAGTTAGATGGGATTGTCCAACAGATCGCAAGCTCAGGGAAACGGGGGAGAGCCCCGGAGGACAAAGTGGGCAAAGCCTACCTTCCTGCTGCTGCTTGTGCTCCGTGGAGTAGGCTTTGCCGATCATGGTCCAGACAGGGCGCAGGCAGCCAAAGAGGCCTTCCAGGAAGCCACTGCCGCTCTGGCACTGCAGCCGCACCTCATCTGCTCGAACTCTGGGCACCCGACTCTCAGGGGACCCAGCGGCTCCCCCTGGGCCTCCTGCATCCTGCTCATGTAGCTGCAGGACACTGTTGGCAAAAGGCTCAGGAGGTGGCTCTCCACCTGGGGAGGGGCTGGGTCCACCCCCGCCCTGCCCGCCCAGTGGCACTACATCTCGAAGTACACACTGGGTAGGCGTCAGGTCTTTCTCAGGGGTGCAGTCAGAAGTGTCTGGGTCCAGCTTGCGCATGGACGCCTCGCTGAGGGTGGACACGAAACCCCCAAAGGAAGGGGAGGGTGTGCGGGTCTCATGGAGGCAGGCCATGGCCTCTAGGCCCCAATGTGGCGGTGAGCGATGGGCCCTATGGGAACAAAGGAGGGAGAAATGGTCAAAGCACAGGCGCGTCCACTCAGGATGCTCACTCCAGTCACGGGCACAAGTTGGGGAGCTGGGCTTCCTACTGGAAATAACATTTGAGTCTCACCTTCAGGTACCCATCCCCCTTCACAAGTTTCACCTGGGACCCATCTTAGGAAACCTGATACACAGGCTTCCACTAAAGTGTCTATTAGCAACACAAGTCTGAGAATGATACTCAGGTATACAGGTAACATACCTGAGTATCATTCTCACGTAGACACAGGTAACAGCCCTGCTCAGATCCTGGTAAAATATATCTGAAGTTCAAGTATTATGGTAACATAGTCCCTTCTCCCTGTAAGATTACTGTAATTTGCCTTAGGAGCACATATTTCTTTCACTTGAGGCTCACATGCACACACACACGTCATATAAGGGTCTCAGATATATATACCTTTTGAGTCTCAACCTTAGGCACCTAAAAGTAACACACCTAGGGCCCTTGCACTGAAGCACACAAAGGTGACAGTGATAACAACACTCAGTGCCACTCAAGCACTCTCAGGTGACATTTCTGGGCCTCACGCTCATGTACTTACACATGATGCAGCTGAGGCGGTAGCAGGAACACTAAACTCGGGTGAGAGTATCCTGAGGCTCAGAGCTCACATCTGGTCTCCCATGAGGGTGCTCAGAGATACACACCTGGGCTTCTTCCAGGTAAGTGAAGGCAGTAGCCAATCACCTCCACTATCTCCCCAGCACAGTTGGGGAACAAGGCAGGACCATTCAATGGGGGTGCAGAAGCTGTGTCAGGACAAGTTGTCGCCTACTGCTTCATCCTGCTTAGCCTCACCCCCATCAGTCCAGCTTCTCCCCCCAGGGGTCAGTTAGAGTAAACCCTGTCTCCTCTTTCTCCACGGCCTCATTCCCAGATCCCCAAACCAAGACCCAGCTTTCTAGACAATGAAGATATGTCCCAATCCATAGCTGGATGCGACTTAAAAAGCAATCATTAAGAACTCTGAATCCTGGCCTTGCTTCTGCCACTTACTGGCTGTGTGACTTCAGGCAAGCTGTATTTGAGCCTCAGTTTCTCCAACTGTACAAAGGGTAAAGTAGCTACTAGTTCTGCACCCTGTACCAAACTTGTCCAGGGCTTGACACAGGGGGTCATTCCAGTCGCCCGTCTCCTTCCACATCCAGTACCAAATCCTGTGATATGAGGGTTCCTGAGGACAGCAATCCTCTTATTGTTCCTTAACCCCCTGCACCAGAACCTGAGTCCCATCAGGAGAGGGATGTCAGGAATCTACACAGAGAGAGAGCTCACTAGAATCAGTGATGGCGAACCTTTTGAGCGTGTCAGCGTTTTGAAAAACCCTAACTTAACTCTGGTGCCGTGTCACATATAGAAATTTTTTGATATTTGCAACCATAGTAAAACAAAGATGTGTATTTTTGATATTTATTTTATATATTTAAATGCCATTTAACAAAGAAAAATCAACCAGAAAAATGAGTTCCTAGGTTCGCCATCACTGCACTAGATAATGACGCAGATCAACATGGACGTCTGGCATCTCTCAAAGCCTTTTTCAGTGGGTGTGTGGTGGGCCCAGAATCTGTGTATAGAATAAGCACCTCAGATGATTCTTGTACCTGACACGTTTAAAAAGTTCTGACCCAATGCCATTCTATTCTTTCTTCTTTACTCCCACTTTACTACTTAATGCAGGCTTTATTAGCTGTGTCACTTGACCCAGGACAACTGCCTCTTAAATGGTTTCCAAGTTCTTCCAAAGCCGCCGCCCCCTCCCCACCCCCGCCCATTCTCCACCAGCCTTTAAAATAACTTTTTTCTCTTTTAAATCCTCACCCGAGGATATATTTACTGATTTGAGAGAGCGAGAGGAAGGGAAGAAGAGGGAGAGAGAAACATTGATCCGTTTGCCTTCTGTACCCACCCGATGGGGGATTGAGCTGAAAACCCAGGTATGTGCCCTGACCAGGAACTGAAGTCAAAACGTTTTTGGGTGTATCAGACAATGCTCAAAACTAAAAGTTGGCTAGCAACCCCTCTTCTGCTTCAAACCCTTTAGTATGATCCACTGCATTTGGTCCACCTGCCTTACCTCTGAGCTCTGGCCCCTGCCTAGCCTCATCTCCCACTGCTATTGGTACCCACCCAGGCCATACACAACTGAGTTGAGAATGGCTTACTCTCATGGAAGGCTTACTATATATGTCAGCCTCTGTCATAGACACATTAGCTCACTTAATGCTCAAAGCTCTACGGTAGCATCCTTTGCCCATTTGACGGAGGTATTATTAACGTGCCCAAGAAGCTTAGCTAGGAAGAGGCTCAGAATCGGTCCCCAGGTGTGCTCTCGAGCCGGATCTCTTGCTCTCCCATCTCACTTCATCCTGGAAGTCTTCCTCCCTGTCCCTGCTGCTGTGCACAGTCCCCTGTGCCTCTGTCACGGCTCCCATTACCCAGGCCGCATGTGATAGGGCGCCTGGCTCCTCTGAGAGCTGTGATTTCGCATGGGATCGATCCCGGGGCCTCAAACAGCACCAGGTGCTCAGTAAGATGGGGCCACTGTTCTACTCACCCCAGAGGAATGTCTTACTACACTTCGCACCTACACTACCTATCACTCCTCAGAACCAGCCAGCGAAGGAAATATTACCACTGGCCCCTTTATATTCCTGAGGAAGCAGGTGCAGGGAGCTGAAATCACAGTCAGGTCCAGCCTCTGAATCCCCAACATATCCCAGGAGATGAGCGCCTTCAACGGGTTATATGTACACTACAATGCAAATGACAAACACAGGCCAGCGCGCCGCAGAATTCCCCTTGGAGCAGTGGTTCTCAACCTTCTGGCCCTTTAAATACAGTTCCTCGTATTGTGACCCAACCATAAAATTATTTTCATTGCTACTTTATAGCTATAACTAGAGGTCCGGTGCACGAATTTGTACATGGGTGGGGTCCAGCTGGCCTGCCCTGATCAGACTGATCGGGCTGGACTGGCCGAGGGCAGGGGCCATGGGTGGCTGGCTGGCCGGCCCTGCCCACTGGTTGAACTTGTGGTCGAACTCCCAGTCAAGGGGACAATTTGCATTTTAGCCTTTTATTATATAGGATGTTGCTACTGTTATGAATCGTAATGTAAATATCTGATATGCAGGATGGTCATAGGCGACCCCTGTGAAAGGGTGGTTCGACCACCAAAGGGGTCACGACCCACAGGTTGAGAACCGCTGGGCCTGGAGGATCTGAGGGCTGCCACCAGCGCCCACAAACGGGGCTTCCCTTCCGAACCCCTGATTAGACAGGCGGGAGCTCCCTGTCAGGCCAGCAGGGCGGGACGGCGGGGTGGGCGATCGAGAGGAGCCAAGACCACTTGCTGGCCCGCTAGAAGCCCAAACGAGGCGGAGAGGAAGGGGTTACAGCCCCCCCCACCCCCCTTCCCGGTCGTCACGTGGCGCGTGGCTGCGGGCGGAGGCCCAGCAGCGGGAGGAGGGGGTCCGGGTCGGGAAGGGGAGGGGACACAGCAGGTTGAGGAAAGCGCTGGGCGCTGCGGCGTAACCATGACGACTGGGCCCGAGGCGGCGCGTGAAGTCACCGGGACCAGATTAGCCCTGAGTCACGTGAGCAGCGACGCGGGGGCGGGGCTGTGCCTCGCCCCGCCCCCGACCCGGGCTGGCCCACGTGCAGCCGCCGGCTGCCTCGGGGCCCCTCACCTGCCCTGCCTCCCTCTGCCCCTCATGCAGATCTTCGGCGCAAGCAGAGGGAGACTGATGCTGGAGAGTGGACTTGGTTTGGCAGGGGGGTGAGTGTCACAGAGAAAGCAGGAAGTCGGGAGGAAGGGAGAATCAACACAGAAAGGACAACAGGCACAGCCAGAGCGGGAGGGACAAGGTGAGAGATCCAGAGACCGGAACAGCGTGAAGTCAGGGAGAGGCAAACCTGAGAAGAATGGATTGAAAAACTGATTTTGAAAAGCAGAGAAGACAATGAGAAAAAAAGAGAGCAGAAGGGACTGACTGAAGAACAGGATGATTCGTTTTCTGTTTAGACGCTGAGCCTTGAGTAGGCACAACACCTGGCTTTTAAAAGGAAATATTCAGCCTTCATTTGGCGTTTGGCAACTAAGAGGTTCAGGCAGAGAGAGGGTGACATGAAGCTCAGCCTCCCTCCAGTTCCCCAGACTTCCCCAGAGACCCTCTGGTATCCAGGGCCAGCAGCTGGGGAGAGAGGGAGAAGCCATTTCACCTGTTTGTCTTGTAGGGCAGTGGGAGCAGCTGAAGAAAAAGATGGGACTAAGGGAAAGGGAGGGAATCTACCCAGGCTCAATCCACCCTCGCCCTGTTCTCAGGCTAATGACTACTCTTCCAGATTGACCTGAGGGGTGAAGCTCCAGGGAGCTGTAGTAAATGGGAGATTTCTCTCTAGCAGCACCGCCCCCCTCTCTGTTTCCTTTCTCTGACCTGCCAGCTGTGCCCCCCCCCCCCCCCCCCCCCCGCACCAGCTGGGCCTTGGAGCCAGGGCTTTGGGAGGACATGGCTAGGAACCCCTGGCCCAGACATTTGGTCACCTCGGGGAGGGGAGCTGTCTCCCCAGACATCAATTATGCAGAGCATTGGGAAAGGGCAGGGATGTGACAGGAGTGGATAGATATGTCAGTCACCTGTCCACAGTATTTATCAAGTGCTTACTGTGCAGAACTCTGTTCCAGATTGGGTGCGGGGACAGTGGTCCCTAAGCTATCCATCTTCCAGGGTAAGAGGCTTTTTGGATACCCTGACGCCCAGTTTCAGCTACTAGATTCTCTGCTTTGGTGCTGGTTCCTAGAGTTCCTCTTCAGGAGGCTGTATAAGTTGGGTGAAGGCAGGGAATACCCTCTTTCCCTTTTAATTTTTCCCCCGAGGTTCTCCAGCCTGAGATGCTGGAGGCCCGTGGCAAGGAAACCCTTTGAATTCTTTCTTGGTTCCTCCTAACAGCATAATCTCAACGCCAAGCTGCTTATCTGGCGTCTTGGAGGCTCTGTTGAGAGGCCAGGCCATCTGTCTAAATCTTGGGTGTTCACCCTGAGCACGAGCCACTTGTTCTGGCCTTCACTTGGCACTCAGGAAGAGGAGGAAGATTCCCCTTCTTTCTTGAGCGGGGTGGGAAGGGAGGCCTTCATGGGGAAAGGAGACCCAAGACTGGAATGTTAGTTTCACCTCTGCAGGCTTTGAGACCCTTGCAGTGGTTCTCAACCTTCTGGCCCTTTAAATACAGTTCCTCATGTTGTGACCCAACCATAAAATTATTTTCGTTGCTACTTCATAACTGTAATGTTGCTACTGTTATGAATCGTAATGTAAATATCTGATATGCAGGATGGTCTTCGGCGGCCCCTGGGGAAGGTTGAGAACCACTGCCTTAGAGGATGGACCGACCCCTTCTGGCCATGCCTTCTGGTCATTTGGCTGCGCTTGTTGTTTTGTATCTTGCAGAATCCATGGTCCTGGCCCCAGGGTTCCTCTCAGACAAAAAGAACTACAGCTTTTCTCAGTGCCCTCATGAGGGGGAAATGCCTTCTCCTGAGACCTTGGAGAAAACGAAATCCAGGCCCTCAGCCTCATACAGGCCAAGCCCCGAGAACCCTAGTGGCCACCACATCTTCCGGCAGTGAAGGTGCTGAGAAATGGGGGGAAAAACAAAGCCAGCTTTGGATTTGGATAGATCAGAAGTAGAACCTCAGTTTTGCCAAAAGTTAGTTTAAGAAATGTAACCTCTCCAAGGCTCCCAACGGTACCTCATGGGGTGGGGAGGGTTAAGTGAAACGATGTAGGAATGCTCTGAACACAGTCCCTGGCTTGTCTTCCTGGTTGGCTGGACACCAGGTCTTTCTTTGTGAATTCTGGAAAGGCCATGTCTTTCTGTCTGACCAGAAAAAGGGAGACTTGGTCTCCACTCTTCTACTTCCCCAAGGCAAATCTCAATTCCAGGTTCCAGGCACAACAGGTCACAATGGCAGTGACAGATCCTTTGTCCCTCTACCAGATCCTTTGTCCTTCCTCTGCAAATCCTGCCATACTTCCTCCTCTGGTCTGAGAAGGAAGGCTAATTCTCTGCACCCCATCCTCACCCCCTGGCCAATGTGGTCTAGGATCACCCCTCAACCCTGCCCTTTAAAGTCTGAGGGGAAGGACAGGGTAGGAGCAAGATATGATGGGCCATGGGGCTCACAGAGGGCCTTTCCTGCTCAGGACCTCAGAGGAATGTGGAGGAGGAAGTTCAGAGTATTTTAACAAATAGTTCCTGAGCTGAGAGGAAGGGAGAGGGATAGAGAGATAGAAACATCAATGATGAGAATCATTGATCGGCTGCCTCCTGCACACCCCCTATTGGGGATCAAGCCCGCAACCCAGGCATGTGCCCTTGGCCAGAATCGAACCTGGGACCCTTCAGTCCGCAGGCCAACGCTCTATCCATTGAGCCAAACCTGCTAGGGCTGAATGTGCATTTTAAAAGAGCTTGAGGGATAGACACCAGTGTACCATTTTCTAGGTAGGTGGAATTGTGGGTGTTTTTCTTCTTGTGGCTTATCTATATTTTCTAGTATTTCAGTAATGACTTTAAATTGCTTTAAAGTAAGAAATTTAAAAATCTATTTTTAAAGAGGAGATGAAAAGGACAGAGTGTTGTCCATTTCTGTCACCTGGCTTGGGACAGTGTGCCGTAGAGGGAGAGTGGATGGCCTGAGAATCAGAGAGGCTGGGTTGACATCCTGTCTCTGCTTCTGATCATTTGGGCAACCTGGAATATGAGGCTTCTTAACAGACATCGGTTCCTTCATCCCTAAATGGGGCAGTGGAGCCTCTGGCACACAGTGGTATGCAATATCTAAGCGGTGGGAAAGAACACAGGCTCTGGCCCAGCTCTAGCCACAAACTAGCCTTTTCACTTCAAACAGATTACTTAAGTTTTAGTTTCCTCATCCCTAAAATAAAGATGATGATAATAACACTACCTCTTAGTCCTGTTGTATTATTGACTAAAGTTCCGGGCCCAGTCCTTGGCACCCAGCAAGCCCCCTATAAGCATTAGCCATGTGAAAAGTGCCTGACAAGCATTAGTAGGGGCTTTATTCATGTAATTCCCATCATTTCTTTCCCTTTCTCTCTTCCACAAAACAAGAAGCAGTAGGCAGGGTACCAATGGAAAGGGGCAAGGGACATGGACAAGCAGGAGGGGAGATAAAGGGGAGCAAGGAAAGAAGAAAGGACAAGGGCTCTTTATTCTGGGAGATCTTTGGTCTCTTCTGCAATAGAGTCCCTGCTTCCTCATCACCTTCCCCCAACACACACGACCCTAGTCCTGGGAGCAGATGAAGCAGAGAGACCAGTCTCTGTGGGCAACCCCTCACGAAGCCCCTGGGTCCCCTGCTGGCGTCTTCACACTTTGCTCCCCCAGCAGGGGCTTCTGAAGGGTGGATCCCTAGTCCCTTATTTCCCCCCAGCCCAGGCAGGACTGCACACAAGGAGCCATTTTTCCATTAGGTGAGTCCTGGGTGGAGGGTACTAGAATTTAGAGTCTTTTTCCTGGCAAAGCCGATGACCACAGCATCACTTCCATCACTTCCTGAGAAGGACTGGGGAACAGCAGTTGGTTTTTAGAGGGGTTCTGGCACCCTCAGTTGTAAGGACGTCCAGGAAGTCCTGAGCCACTTCCTTACTTAAACTTCTTGCCTCCTCTGCTCATAACTGGGTCTAATGAGCGGATGGATATTTAGTTGTGCATTTTCACGTGGCCGGAGGTGGGTCTCCCAGAATCCCCCGTCCCCAGTGTGAGTGGGTGAGTGGCAGGCTGGGGAGGGAAGCTGCGTTTGCCACTCTAAGTGTGAGACAGAAAGGAGTAGGCTCCACCAGCTCAGAGGAACTTTGGTGTCTGCGTAGGAAGGCCCAGGGCACACCTGGTCCTTTCCTTCCTGAGTCCTTTCTGCTGGCCTTTCCTTGGTGTGAATGACACTCTGGCTGAAAATCCGAGTTCCCAGAGCCATGGGGTTGATCCTGAGGGAGGGAGTTGGGAGGGAGTTGCAGTTGTTTAGTGGGAGGCACTGACTGTCCTGCGATAACTCGGGTGGGGGAGACCTCAGGGCACTCACTCTCCTCCCAAGAGGGAACAGGCCATGGAGTGAAAAGGTAGGACTACTCCCTAAATTCTAAGGGTCGCCCCACCATTTCCTTCCACTATCTAGAAAGCCTCTGACCCCTTCCCTTCCCTCCCCTCAGCCGAGGCCATGATTATGGGGAGTCTCAACTCTGTGGAAAGGATTCTTATGTATTTTTAAGCCAAGGAGTGTGAGGAGTGTGTGGGTAAAAGGGAGGAGGGGGTTCACGAAAGGCCCGGGCTTGGGGAATGGGTTAGGAAAACCAGAGGAGATGGAAGGACAGAGGGAGAAAACCACATATGAATGGGGGAGGGGAGGATGCAACAGCTGGACGGAGGAGGTGAATGCCACAGCTGGAGGGGATGAGGGCTTCACCGTGGACGGGGAAGGAGACCACTGCCTGGGCCTCCGGGAACAGGTGCTCGCTGCCTACACCCCCAGGTGCAGCCTGCTAGGCGTGTGTGTGTGTTTGCGGGGAGGTTGTAGGGGTCCGCGGGCACCAGGCCTTGTCCATCCTTCCTCTCCTCTCTCAAGGGCCAAAACTCCTCCTCCTCCTCCTTGAGGAAGAGTGGGAGGAGAGGTGGATGGTCTCCTGCCCGCTGTCCTTAAGTCGGTTCCCCCACCATACCCCACCCCCACCCCACCCCACACAAGCTTGGAGGCCCTTCATCTCCAAGCTGGGCCGCAGCGTCCCTCCGCTCCCTTCCTCTCCTCCCCATCCCCACAGGCGTCGGGTCCAGGTCTACAGCTCCTCCATTCCCACAACCTCAGCATCCCCGCGGCACCCTCCCCCACCCGCCACATCTGCATCCCGACCCTCCCTCGCTCCCCGGACCCCCGGACCCGGACCCATCCCTGCCCCCTCCCCCGACCCCCCACGACTCGGCCCGGCTCTCACCTCGGGGGCTCCGCGGCCGCAGCACAAAAGGCGGCGCTGCTGCAGCTCGGCTCCGGATGCTGCTCCCGCCTCCTCCTCCTCCTCCTTCTCTCCTCCCCCCGCTGCCCTCGACCGGACCCGGGGCGCCTTCAGAGGCGATGCTCGCGCGGTGCACGGGTGTCAGCCCCAGATTTCTCCCCCCACCCCCCAACCCCTCGCCCCGTCCCCACTCCGCTTGAACTCCCGCTCCTGCCCAGGCCCCGGCCCCTGGCCCCCCGGGACGGACACGCCCTGAGCGGGGGATGCTACGCTGGAGCCGCCGGCCTCTTAAAGGCGCCCGCTGCCGCCACCGGCGCGCTCCAGGCCCGTCCCCGGTCTGTCTGGGCCCCTCGCCTCCCGCGGGCGCTCCCACCGCGGGCCTTATGCCGATCCCATAGGCGCCCCCCAAGACTAGTCATAAACTCCCGCCTGTACCCTGAGGCTGCAGCCCCTGAGGGGACAACACCCCACCCTGCACACTAGCGTTGCTCCCCCAGTCATACCAATTTTGCCAGCTTTCCTTCCCCTAATTGTCACCACTCCAGCTCCAGCCAATGGGAATCCACGCAGCTCAGTTCCCTCCCCCTTCCGTGTTCCTGGATGACCCCCCAATATTCCCAGATTCTTCTGGACCTCCCCTCGGGCTCAGCCTTCTCTTCCCTGACCCATGCTCAGAACACTCATTAGAATCGGGTATTTTTCGTGATCTCTTTCTCTGCAAGGTCACAAGATTTTCCTTCACCTTTCAGTTCAGTGGTTGTGAGACTTTGGGAAGGAGGGACAGGACCTCGGAAAGCCAGATCAGTCGGTTTTAAGAGGCCAAAATTTTCTCTTGCTCTCAACTGAGACCCGAGACCCACGGTCGAGGAAACGAGACCAGCACGTGCTTTCGTCCTTCCAATCCCGTCGTGCCCTTGATTCTCAGGCTCCGGAGGGGTCTCCTGGCCGCCACAGCAAGGCTCACTAGGGTGAACTCGGGCACAGCCACAGAAAGGTTCACTCTAAAAGGGCTTTAGAAGAGAAACGGACACCGACAGGCTGCGGGGCAGAGTTCAATGGGGAGAGAGGTAAAGGACAACCGGGGAAGGAAGCAGGTTCTGTGAGACGAAGGCCCGGACGCCAGGGGCCTGGGCTGAGCGCCCAGGGCGAACTGTCTGAGCCGGACTTGCACTCGGAGGCAGAAGACGGTGCTCTCCGCGCCCAGGCCGGCCTCCCCTTGCCGACCGCGGACAGTCAGACCCGACAGCAGTCTCACCACGAGCCAATCACAACCTTTCTTCCAGAAAGAGGCGGGGTCAAGGGGACCGACTTTTTCCTTGTCCCTGCCCCTCGGGGGAAGTAACCAATCGCAACACACCAAGAGCAAGTAAGCGCAGTCGGGAATAACCAATTGTGCCGGAAGCTTCTCCTGCAGGCTGGACCCTGCCCCTCCAGCTGCGACAAACGTGACACGCGAGCTCCTGGGTTCGGTAGTTTTCTGAGCGCTCGAAGCCTTGCCCCCCGCACCGCCCCCGCTGGAGTTAGCACTACCGCCCGCCCCGCCGCTTCCACGCGGCTACTGCGCATGCCCAGAGCCTCCCCCCCACCCCCCGCAGCCAGGGGAGAGGAGGCGCGGAAGGAAGGAGGCGGGATAGTATTTAAAACAAACAACCCACCCTCATCCCGGGGAGCGGCGGTGTAGGGGTCCGCTCCTCCCAGAAGGCGGTGCTGCCTGCGAGGGCGGACCACGCGGAGGGTTGTGGGACGGATAGCTCCCCTGCTGATGGAGACTCATAGAGTCGGGTGGGCGGGGGGACTCCATATCCCAGAATGCCCCACGGCGGGCCCGACCGGCCGCGACTCCGGGCTTGGCCCCGGCCCTAGCCTGTCGGCGGTGTATTGGGGCGCGTGGAGGCAGAAGTCACGGTGGCGCCCGCGGGGACGGAGGAGGGAATGAGTGAAGAGGAGCAGGGCTCCGGCACTACCACGGGCTGCGGGCTGCCCAGGTGAGCGGCCTTGCATCCATCACTGCAGGGCGAAGAGCGTGGCGCTGTGCGGAGGGGTAGCGGCGCGGCCCCAGCATGCACCTGGCCTGAGGGTTGTTCCCGGCAAGCACTGGGGTAGTGGGCCGTGGTTCCCGGCGTTCACCCGAGCGGTGGCCACTGCCTCCAGCTCGAAATAGTTTGGGGCTGGTCCGGTTCCCAGACTGCACTGGGGCATTGGGCTTCATGCCCCCGACATTCAGTGCATTTGGTGGGTAACTGGGGTCTTGGCCGCACTGTGTTAGGGGACATGCACTTCTAACCTGCACTCGGGTACAGGATCCCCCGCCTTAACTGAGACAGGAACAGTGCATTCCCCGCTTGCCCTAGGGCAGTGGACCCTGCTCTCCCAGCCTGCACCTCTACACACTGAACCTAGCCTGTGACTGCTGTACTGCCTGGGGTCCCCTGGACCTTGTGACCCCCATAGTGTGCCTGGGTCTGATATAGCCGTGCTTGGCCAGGTGGGTGCAGAGAGGGGAGGTGTGATGAGGGTCTGTGCCCCTCCCCCCAGTATAGAGCAAATGCTGGCAGCCAACCCAGGCAAGACCCCGATCAGCCTTCTGCAGGAGTATGGGACCAGAATAGGGAAGACGCCCGTGTACGACCTTCTCAAAGCCGAGGGCCAAGCCCACCAGCCTAATTTCACCTTTCGGGTCACCGTTGGCGACACCAGCTGCACTGGTGAGGAAGGCGTGGGCCAGCCTCGCTGGGGTGTTCATTCACAGGGCCCCACTGGCTTTATTTCTTGGAGTCTCTTCACAGTCCTCCAAGAGCAGTGAGGGAGGGGGAGGTTTCAGGGGGAAAAGCCACTGACTGGATGGGGCGAACAGGTCTGTGAGGAGGTGGGTAGGACTCGGGAGAGTTAGAGGAGCAAGCAAGATTGCCACAGTGATCTGGCCGGTCGTCAGCATCCCAGAGGAAAAGGAGATAGACCGAAATCTCAGCGAAGTTTGGGGAGTGAGTGTCAGCTGTGCTGGGCTCTGCAGCAGGTGCTTAATTCAATTCCTGTTTAGTCTAATCCAGTGATGTAGGTGGTAATCCCCTCATGTTGACTAGGAGGAGACAGGCTCAGAGGGATTCAGTGACTGGTGCAAGGTCCCATTCTTAGTAAGTCAGAGCCAGGCTTTGACGCTAGAACCTACCTTATTTCTATTTTCCCAGCCATTTCTATTTACTGAGAGAAAGTGCTTCCCAAAGGAAAGTAAGGCAGAGAAAGAATCTCCACCCAGGGTGTCTGAGCTCAGGAGCACTCTGTCTGGCATGGCTTGATTTGGGGAGCTCACAGAACACTTCCAGCCTTGGACAGGGGGAGGTCAGTGAGAAGGAGCTTGGTTGCCTCGCTGTAGCTGTGAGGAGAGAGGCTGTGGGATGCTGGTTTCTCTTCCAGTGACCTCCAGTATTGCCCACGCCCCCTCTCTCAGGTCAGGGCCCCAGCAAGAAGGCAGCCAAGCACAAGGCAGCTGAGGTGGCCCTCAAACACCTCAAAGGGGGGAGCATGCTGGAGCCGGCCCTGGAGGACAGCAGGTGAGGGAGGAACAGCTGAGGCATCCTAGAGGCCCTGCCAGGAACCCAGGCCCCTGCATCGGCCCCTTTGCCCAGTAGGCCTGACCTGGTGACACTTAGCCACCTTGACCTTCTCTTCCTGAGTTTCCTCTGGACCTGAGCAGGGTGCTTCCAGGGGGGAATGGCCAGCTCCACTGAGGGATTGTGGCTGTGGTTTGGGGTTCAGGCTAAGGAGGGAGAGGGGGGGAGGCTGAGGCTGGAGGGAGTTGCCTTCTCTGTCTAGCAAGATATCCTTTCCTCTTCTGCACTGAGGTTGGATTTTTTTGCTCCTATAGTTCTTGGGTAGAGAGACCCTCTTTCTCCTTTTCTCAGTCTTTTTGATCCAGTGTTTGGCAAGCAAAGGATCCCAGGAGGAAGAGCTGGTGGTTGAGCTTCCCTGAGTCTTTGACTCGAATGGGAAGGGTTTCTTAGGGGATGAGCGGGTCAGGCGGACCTGGGTCCCCCGCCCTTTCCCGGTCCCCGCCCCACAAGGGTGTGAAGCAGAGGCTCCCTTCCCCTCGGGAAGTTCTTTTTCTCCCTTAGACTCTTCACTGCCTGAGGACGGTCCGGTTTTTACTGCTGCAGCGGCTGCTACTCCTGTTCCATCTGCTCTCCCAACCAGGTATCTTGTGTCTTCTGACTGCCTGAGGGGGGAGGAATGGGTCCTGGCTCCTGGCCCCCAGCCCTTGGACCCGGGCTGGTCAGGCCTGAGGAAGTCTGAGAGTAAACAGAGGCTGGAGTAGTAGGGGACCAGAGTTTGAAGAATTTGCACCAGCTGGTAAGCTCTTGGGACAAGCGGTCATCAGTGATTTTAAATGGCCATGTGGATGATGTTTGACCCATGTTAAGGGTCTTGCAGGCCCCATTTTCTTCTGAGTTGGCCCCATGATCATCCTGTGTTTGAGCCCCATCCGGTGCTTCCAGGGTCTGGATATACAGCCCCTTTCCCACTGTCCTGACGAGGTGATGATCGCATGTCCCAGAAAATTGAAGTGGGCCTGGGACCTGGAGGAGACCTCACTTGCAGGGGAGGGGGGAGGAAGGAGGCTGGAAGTTGGAGTGGGGGGAACCGAAACGAGGCTGAGGACTCCTGGGCTGCAGCAGAAGAAACTAGCCCCTCAGCTTTGGCCCTGGACCCCTTTTCCTTCAGGAGCCCCCCCATGGAGGTGCAGCCCGCTGTCTCCCCTCAGCAGTCTGAGTGCAACCCTGTTGGTGCTCTGCAGGTGTGCCCCCTCCTCATTTCCTGTGCATGCCCGTCCTCCCTTGCACCAGGGGCCCTGAGGGAAGGTAATGGGGGGTGTTTGCCTTTCCTGAGGGCTTTTTTTCACCCCATTTATTCCTCTTCTAGTCTGGAATCTGAGGCTCCTAGGGTAGAAGGGAAAGGATGTTTGGACTCTTCTCACTCGGCCTGTCCACCCATATTTCTCCCTTCCAAGGAGCTGGTGGTGCAGAAGGGCTGGCGGTTGCCCGAGTACACGGTGACTCAGGAGTCCGGGCCAGCCCACCGCAAAGAGTTCACCATGACCTGCAGAGTGGAGCGCTTCGTTGAGATTGGTAACTGGGCAGAAGGGCGTTCTTGCAGCTCTTGTCCCCCAACACTCCAGTCCTGGCCACAGGCGGTGCCTAGCTTCTCTCTGCTACAGCCCCGCGCTTTTGGCTGAGACCCCAGCTTAGCTCCTTCCCCTGAACTTCTTCCTTGCGCCCTGTCTTCCCCCCTCTCTGGCCAACCAGATTCTTAGGTGCCAGGCAGGTCCTGAGCTCCCCTTTCTAATCGGTATCTCTTTAGGGGACCCTCAGCCCAGATTTGAGCCTGGTGGAAGCACTGAGTCTGTTGGGAGTTGTCATCCGTAACCCTCTCCCCACACGCAGGCAGTGGCACTTCCAAGAAGCTGGCAAAGCGGAACGCGGCCGCCAAAATGCTGCTGCGCGTGCACACGGTGCCTCTGGACGCCCGGGACGGGACTGAGGCAGAGCCTGACGACGATCACTTCTCCATTGTGAGTGGCTGGGGGCCCCCTCCCTGCCAGGCCAGGGCACTGGGGACTCAGCTCTGTGACTCAGGAGTGAGCTTTCTGGGTCCCAGGCCTGCTTCTGTCCATTTTCCTACGGGAGCCAGGATTCTTGGGGTTCTCGTTCAGCTTCAGCTGTAGGCCCACCTGGTGAGTGCCCTGGGGAGCTGGTGCAGGCCAGGGGCCTGTAGGCTTTTGTTCCTGCGATGAGGAAGGCAGCTTGGCCGTCCAGTCCAGGGTCTGATAGGGAGAGGGGGTCAAACGGGAATTGACTGAGGGGAGGCAGGCTGGAGGTACCATTCTTTGGGCTATTCTCTCCTGGGACATTAAATGTCTCTTAAATGCCAGGGCCTCCCAGTCCAGTGCCGCATCTTTCTCACTGTTTTCATCTCATCAGGGTGTGGGCTCCCGCCTGGATGGACTTCGGAACCGGGGCCCAGGCTGCACCTGGGATTCTCTGCGCAATTCAGTGGGAGAGAAGATCCTGTCCCTCCGCAGCTGCTCCCTGGGCTCCTTAGGTGCCCTGGGCCCTGCCTGCTGCAGTGTCCTCAGCGAGCTGTCTGAGGAGCAGGCCTTCCATGTCAGCTACCTGGATATTGGTATGGCTAGTTGGGGGGCCGGGGGATGGTGGGGACTGGACCAGAGCAAGTACACATGGGTATAAGGAGTGGGGGGAGGGCATGATGGTGGCACGGATCACAGCCCCCCTCCCCCGGTGCTGCCTCGCCACCCAACACTGCCTCCTCCTCTCTCTTGGTCTCCAGAGGAGTTGAGCCTGAGTGGGCTCTGCCAGTGCCTGGTGGAGCTGTCCACACAGCCGATCACCGTGTGTCACGGCTCTGCAGCCACCAGGGAGGCAGCTCGTGGCGAGGCTGCTCGCCGTGCCCTGCAGTACCTCAAGATCATGGCGGGCAGCAAGTAAAGCTCCAGCTGGACTCATGGACATACAGCCTCGCTCCCTGCTCTTCCTGCTCTCGGCCCAGGCCTCTGCCCAGCTCGGGTACCCTCTGGAGGTGCCATCTCTACCTCTGACACAGACTGCCTCCCCGCAGGCCGAGGAGGGCATGGGCCCAGGAGCCAGGGACCACAGTGCCTCAGTGGCCCAGGATCCGTCCTCATGTTACTGGTGGTGATGGAGGGGAATGACATCGGACTGTCCCCTAGAGCCCAGAATAAATGTGCTGCTCCTCGGAACCTTACACCCTGATCTTCCTGTTTCCCTGAGTGGTTGATGGCAGTTTCGTGCCAGATCACCTCCCCTTTGCCTCCCCACCTTGTTCCGCACATGTCCCCGTGCTTGCTTTTCTGGTGGCGGGAGGCTGGGGGCAGTGACTTCTGGGAACCCCATCACCTGTGTTTCTGGAGAGTTTGGTGGAGATGGACTGTGGTTCTTGCCATGGGCTCCCGCCCAGCCCCATCAAGTCTTAGACACAGACACCTGATTTAGAAGCCAGGCAGCTTTATTTGGGGAGGGGGGGGGGGATACATGGCACTTTGGGTGTGGGCCTTGCATGCAGATGGGTCAAGAGATGAATGTCACTTCTTCCCAAAGCGCTGAGGGGCAGCCAGACTCCAGAACGGGGTGCTCAGCCCCTCCCCAGCTCGGGTAATCAGCCGGTTGTTGCTCCCGGAGCCCTGGGTATTTCTGCCAAACCTTAGGAGAGATCCATCTTCAGCTGTAGGTCCTTCCAGTCCCTTCTCTAGCCCCCTCCCTCGACCCTCCCCTGGCCCCTGCCTTGCCTGTGTCCCTCTCAGACTCACCTTTGGGGCTGAAACGGGAAGGCGGGGCTCCGGCCGGGTCTCTGCATGGCCTGGAGCAGGGAGAGTAAGAGTGACGCAGGGGCCTCGGCATCCTGTGGCGTGCGGGGTCCGGTGTCTTCCTCCTGTGGCACAGGCACATCCAGCAGGGAATACGGGCAAAGACTGGACATTCAGGTCAGTAGGGGAAGGAGTGGCTTCCAGTGACAAGTTGTAGGAGGCTGAGTAGCCATTTCTTCAAAGGAAGACCCTGGCCACAAGTGTTTGAACCTAGAGCACAAGTCCCATGCTGAGGTAGAGAGGAAAAGTGACGTGGGGAGGGGCGCTAACTTACCACGAAGATGTGATCTCCACCCTGGCCCCCTGGTCCTTCAGCGTGGCCCCAGTCTGTTATTAAAAGCAGCACCAGCAGTAGCACTGCTGCCTGCCTGGAATCCATGCTGTCATCTGCCTTCCTCCGGCCACATCTGCCTCTTATACCTGCTGTCCCCCTGCCCGCCACCCCCACCGCAGCTGGAGGGGGAATCTAGAGCAGGCAATGGAAATGCACGGCTCCATTAAGAGCCCCTGAGATCCCCTCCCATGGCCCCTCCGGGACTTCCTGCTCTCAGCCTCCGGCCCTAGCCCCTAAGCCTGGAATTACAGACTTTATTAGATGCATAAATCCTGTCTCCAGAGCTTGAGAAGCATCATTAATTGCAGATGCTTTGTCAGCGCCAGGCCCTGGGGGGCCTTTAAGAACCCCCAATCCCTCAACAGGTTGGAGAGCTCCAATTGATCACGTCCTCCTCTCTTCTAACTTGTAGAATAAAAGCATAAATAAAGCCCTGTCAGGAAGGGCTAGGTATTGTGTCCTGGAACAGAGGGAGTGGAGAGAAGAGTTAGGGTCAGAGGTGGCCGGGATGACCCAGCCAGGGTCCCTCCCCTCATGGCTGCAGCCAGGGTCACCCAGCCCATCCACACCTTTGCATATGTGCCTTAGAGCCACTACTTTGAGATTTGCCTGTGGATAGGAAAATGAGATGCAGAAGGGAACAAAACGAAAGTAGGGAGCTCACAGAGTGGGGATTGCTTCAAATCTTTGTAGATGGACCCCCTCCTCACTAGAGGGCAACTGCTTGCTTAGGACCTGCCTCACCTGGGGCTCGGGAGCCATCCCTGCAGCTGAGGCACTGCTGCCACCCTGTGGCCACAGCTCCACATTGTCAGGCCCAGCCATTTCCTTTTCTGGACTAGAGCTCTTTGAAGGACCAGGAGGATGGAGGTGCCTAGGGCCCTGATTCTGTGGAGTTCCAGACAGGCAGGGGCAGAATCCAGGGGCTGGACTATGATTTTGTCCACTTCGCTCTAGTCACCCCGCCTCCGCCTGGCTCTGACCTACTGGGGCGCGAGACTAGAATCCAGCCTTGGGAAATACCTGCTTCTCAGGAAGGGGTCCTTCAAGTCACCTGGTGCCCTTTCCCTTCCGATCCTAGGATCCGTCCCCCACCCCCCCTCCCCCCCAATAGTTCTGTCCCATCCTGGAGAGGTGCCATGACGTAAGGAGCCTGTGCCCGGCCTTGGCAGCTGTCTACCTCTGACCTGCAGGTTCTTCACCCAGAACACGGCGACATGAAGAGCTGCTTCCCAGGACGAGCATTATCTGAGCTCCTTCTGGTCGCCCATCCAGTAGAGGACCTGACAGAGCAAGCGTCCTCAGAACGTTGGCTGTGAGGAGCCGACACACCCGAGTCCTGGGAACTCGCCATCTCCTGGGGCTTCGCAGCTGTGTCCTTGCACCGAGCTGGTTTCCGTCTCCTTGTGGCCTCCACCAGAGGGTCTTAGTTTTGCCTCTTAAGTCTCACAGATCATCTCTCCATTCTTTCACGTATGCAAGCCTTTCACCGGTTTGAAGACATTTCATTCTTCTACTCTATAGTCTTTTTTTGTTCAAGGGGAGGCGTCTCTCTTTAAAGTAAGGCATTTGTAAACCAACATGTCCTTTGGGCAGGTAGATTAGATCAGGTTTTGATCTGGATGCTCTAGATACTACGTTTCTATGAAAGCAGCCTAAGCTAGGGGACCTTTTTGTGAGCTTGTCTCACGCTGGTCCCAAGCACAGAACCTGGCATTCACCACTGCATCTTGCAGTTCCACCACTTCTTAAAGGGGAGAATTAAGACCATAGGTAGATGGTTCTTCTTTGGGAAATGGATCTGGCCCCAAAGAAGTCCAGAGCAGAGTGGGGGGAGCACTGCAAAGAGCAGGTCTGGGGTCCGACGGAATTCAATTTTAATCCCAGCTCTTGGCACTTCACTGTGTGCCTTGGGGAAGTGTCTTAACCTTAACCTCACTTCATCATCAATAAAATGAGGCGACTACTCCTATTATCAAGAGATTGCTATGAACAGTAAGTGATGCAAAGCATCTAGCTCTCCATTTAGCACAGAGCAGGCACTCAATGTTTACCACCCTGCTGCTTCCCCTCTATTTCTCTGATCACCAAGCACACCACTATCTGAGCTGAGGCTACAAGAAGAAATGAGCTGATCTAGCTGGCTTCCGATTTCAGGATGGAGGTGACTGGTCTCCTGTGGTTAGTAGTTGGAATGGGTTGATTCTGCTCTCATGGGAAACTGCCCTGCCTTCAGAGTCTCATCCCAACCCTCCCAAACCTCTTCATCTTGGCTTCAGGATCTGGCTTTCGGCAACTTCCTTTCTGACCCTTCTCTGGCCCTCCATGTGTTCCTGACCACAACACAATGAAGACCACGACTGCCTTTCCTACTTGTAAGTTAGGAGACTCAGTCTCCCTGTTTGTGTCAATTAATCCCGACATCAGCCACAGTTTCTTAGAAAATTTCTCTCCTATTGGGAAACCCAGAGACACCTGCCATCTCCTGGTCAAGTTCTTCAGCCTGGCTCACTCTCCGCGCTTGTGACAGTTCCTAAGGAATACACCGATCCAGTTAGTAGTGACTGCCCTACACCTCCATACTCCACGTGGTTCCTCAGCATTACCTCTTGTTCTTTCTTTTCTTTTTCTTTAATATGTTTTTACTGATTTTAGAGAGAGAGAGAGGAAAGAAACAGAGAGAGAGAGAAAACGTTGATCGGCTGCCTCCTGCACCCCCCTCACTGCGAGCCCACACCCACAACCCGGGCATGTGCCCTGACCAGGAATCGAACCGGCGATCTCTTGGTGCACGAGACGATACTCAACCAACTGAGCCACACTGGCCAGTGCTACCTGTTTTTCTTGAGAACTCTCTTACCTGCTCTCTAACCAACGCCGGCCCCTCCAGTGCCCATAGAATTTATACAATCATAGAAAGGTTCTCTTCTGGTCTCTGTGCATTCCCCCATCATGTTGGAAACTTCTTGAAGATAGGGCTTATTTTTGTTGTTTTAAAAAAATTGTTGGGGGTGGGGGTGGGTACAAAACACTGAAAGGTGAGAGGACACTGGCTTTTCAAACACCATCTCATCCCCCATCCACATAAAGCACACACCTCCTCTAGTGAGTGCTCCCTTGAATGCTCTGGGCCCTTGCCCCCAGGGCAGTGCACAGATCTGAGCCCTGCCTTCGGTTGTGTTATGTATTTATATAAGCCACCACCTTCTCTAGACTGTGTTTTCACTGCGTAAAAAGGAAGGGTAAGAATCCCGGCTCCTTCTGTTTTAAGAAATGGGAAAGTGAGGAAGATCAGACGTGAAAGCCCAATGAGTCCCCAGGAAGTGAGTGGGACTTGTAGATCAGAGGATCGAAACATCAGACATAACAGTGGTTCTCTCGAGAGTTTAATGTTATATTTGCAGCATAAATAAGGCACAATATATGTCAGGGCAAGGGAGAGGGGGAGGCCTGGCTGGGGTAGCTGCGGAGTGGCAAGGGGAAGGGAAGAAGGGACGGGGAGGGAGAACGGAGCGAAGACTCTGTCTCAGCCGTCCCGGGGGATTGTGAGCCTGCTCACAGGGGTCATGCTGAATGGGGTGGAGGGGAAAGGGAGACCATGGTTTTGTAACAAAATAGCTTGTAGCACTGCATGCTCCCACCTGTCAAAGACCACCACTGGGGAGACTCAGACCCCCAGTGGAGTTCCTTGATGAGATGGAGAGGTTTTGCTACATGTCAAAGATATACAGATGAGCAGAGATATAACCATAGATACACACTGCTTTCTTTCCAACAGATACTATATCAGGAGGCTGCAGCATCTGCTGCTGGGGCCGGAGGCTCGTCTCCCTGCCTGAAGGGGTATGTGTGTGTGAGAACTGAACAGCTAAACTCCAGCTGGTCCTTCCTGTAACAGAGTGTGGAGTGACCAGTCTGCAAGGGAATATGGGACAACACCTGCCCAGACCGATGCAGGACAGGGTTTAGGGATAAGTAGGATGAAGACAAACCTAGATTTCAAGATGAATGACGTGGTTGTTGTTTTAATGGGGGTGAAGAGGAGGACTGGAGGAAATGGAAAAATACATATGTTCGTGCTAAGGCAGAGGATGGTACTCATAGACTTGACCTCCTACAAGAACTTCCGAGCTTGCTGAGGGCGGTTCTCAGACTTCAGTGTGATTAGAACCACTCGGAGTGCTTGTTAGAGCCCATCCCCAGGGTTTCTGATTCAACGGGTCAGGGGTGGGGCCCAAATGTGCATTTCTCACAAGTTCCCAGACGCTGGTGCTGCTTGTCCTGGCCCATGTGCTGAGAACCATCGCCCGGAGGGAAAGTCAATGAAACCAGTGCTCATAGCCATTTCTTACAGCTACAACCTCACTCTCCAGTAGCAGCTGATGCCGGTAAGATCTCTGTGCTACCAGCCCCCATTAAAAACCAACCCTACCAGCTACAATACAAACCTGCCTCTACAAAGGACATCAGCTGCCTTAACCTTCCCTACTCTCCCCAGCCTTTTCTCATTCTTTTCCCAAAAAGAGATGAAGTGGTACAAAGTGTGGGAATGGTGGCCAGCAGCCACCTATGCTCATTCCAGCTGGGTCAGCACCCTGGGAGGGGGATTTGTGTCTGTGTGCACGTGTGTGTTGTAAACAGAAACAGAGAATCAGTTCTGTACTCTGAGGGGAGATTAAGGTGTGGGAGGTTGAGGATCCTCACTTATCTTATTCCTCCCTCCGCCCCTGTCAAACAAAAGTCTAAAGAAAGCATAAAGAGCACATCAACGAAGGCATATGTGATATAGCTAGAAGGACTGGATTCTAAACAGACTGGTTATGAAATAAAAAACAATACTTTTCCTTCCTGTGTATACAATGTACAATACTAACGGGAAATAATGACGTGGGGATGGAAAGGAAGTTCTGAAAGGGAGAGCTTTTGGGGGGAGAGCTGTCTCAGGGTAGCACCTTTAATGGAGCCTCTCAGTGTGGGACACGGGCCTCAGAAGCCGGAGGAGAATACCTGTGTCTGCTTGGTGGGCAGTCTGTAAACAGGCCTGGTTATGGCAAAGCCCCGTCTAGGAGTGGTGCTGGAGGGCAGGGAATCAGGAAAGGAGCCAAGAACAGCACAACAGGCACAG